TGGGATTCAGGTTCCATAGTTAAAGTTTGGTTTACTTTGATAAAAATAAAATCTAGCCCTAGGTGGTCTGGCTCAGTGGATAGAGCGTTAGCCAGCCAACTGAAGGGTCCCAGGTTTGATTCCTGCCAAGGGCACATCCCTGGCCCTGCTTGGGGTACGTGTGGGAGGCAACCAATTAATGCGTTTCTCTCACATCAACGTTTCTCTCTCTCTGTCTCTCCCCCTCCCTTCCACTCTCTCTAGAAATAAATGGAAAAACATCCTCAAGTGAAGATTAACAAGAAACTAAAAAATAATAAAATTAAATTAAATCTAAGATAAGAAATGACAGAGTAGAAGTTTAAATTCTATTGGGCTGCATCCTTATATTTATAAAAGGAAGAAAAATTAAATTCAAACTGCTTTCCTTGAATAAGTCATAATGTCTTTTCATTGAACCTTCAGGTAGCAGTTAGCAGTTACTGAAAAAACTGTACTTGTTTGATTCCAGGATTCAGTCTCTTGATTCTCCTTCTGTCCCACCAGTTCATGGCAATGAAAAAACCCATTTTTCCAAACAGGAAGTCTAGAGTGATCTGACTTTGTAAAATACACGAGTATATGTGAAGTATATACAGAAAAATAAAAAACAGTTTTGGACAGATGTATACTAAAATTTGCAACAAATTATATATTAAACAGTTTTCTTGGATGGTAGACTATATAGATATATCTTGTTTGATTTTTTTTAGAGCTAGTATTATGTGCAGTTTTAATTAATTTATTTTTTTAACTTAAATCTACCTGGAACATGTTAGCTTGTTTCTGGAGTCAGTATTTTCTATTGATCTAGTTGGTTTAGTATCTACTCATCACTCTTAATTTTCAAAAAATTTACAGTTATCCAAATACTCATTTCTAGTTATAATCCTTGAAAACAACTTTTACTACCACCATTTGAAAATACGCCTGCAAATTTCAAGTTTCAGAGCAAAGGAAATGACTAAGCAGTAAAATAGTTCCTGTGTTAATTTTTTGCATAGGACTGACAAAGTGAGATCGATTAAAAATTTTTATCTATCATTTGCTCCCACTAGCATAACCTAATGTAAGCAACAGGCATTCCAGAAGGAATAGGATGATGATGTTGGGAAGTACTGTTACATATTTAGTTGTTTAAAATTCTTCTCTTTCTAAAATATAGGAATTCTAGGAAAGTTTTCTTTCATTAGGACCTTGCCTCTCTGGGGAAATATGCAAATGGTTATTTGCCCATTTGTATTGTACTACCCTTCCTATATAATAAAGAGGTAATATGCAAACCATCAGGACTTTATCATGGCTGCCTATGACCAGGCCAGCAGGAGACTGATTAATGAGGGATGACCAAATGACTGACCAGCAGTCTGCATGGGGCAACCAGGCCAGCAGGGGGGTCAGTTGGGGGCGACCAGGCTGGCAGTGGGGATGAATTTGGGGGTAACCAGGCCACTAGGAGGGGCAGTTGGGGGTAACTAGGCCGGTGGGGGGACAGTTAGGGGCAACCAGGCTGGCACGGGGTGGGGGAGAGTTGGGGGTAATTAGGCTGGCAGGGAGGGCAGTTAGGGGCAACCAGGCTGGCAGAGGTGGGCAATTGGGGGAGACCAGGCTGGAAGGGGGGGACAGTAAAGGGTGACCAGGCCAGTGGGGGGGCATTTAGGAGCAACCAGGCTGGCAGGGAGAGGGCAGTTGGGAATGACCCGGTTGGCAGCAGGGGGCAATTAGGGGCAACCAGACCGGCAGGGGAGGCAGTTAGGGGCAATCAGGCCGGCATGCAGAGGCAATGAGGGGTTATTAGGCCGGCGGGGGGGGGGGGGGGGGGGGGCAGTTAAGGGCGATCAGGCAGGCAGGTAGGTGAGTGAGTAGGAGCCAGCAGTTCAGGATTGTGAGAGGGTGCAGGCTGAGCTGAGGGGACCTCCTGTGTACGAATTTCATGTACTGGCTCTCTAGTCTCTCTATAACTCTTCTTTAATCCCCAAACTAAGACTTTATATATGAGTATATATTATATAAAAATATGTATAAATTATATAAAATGTATATTTAAAATATATGTATACAGATGCGTATGTAATTTTCTTTATTTAATTTCCTTATTGCACATGTAATACATCCTTATTGCACATGTAAACCATAGAGTGTTATAGAAACACAGGGATGGAAAGAAGTCTTTAGTGTTTCTAACTTCTAGATACAATTGTTAATAGTTTGGTGCATGTTACTTGAGATTTTTGTTTATTTGTTTGTTTTGCTATCCATAGAACAACAATACTTATTGTTATTGGTTGTTGTTCCATTATTTTTCTTTTACAAAAAGGCTATATTATAGCTAATTTTGTAATCTAATTTTTTTTCCCTTCACAATATACTTGTACATTTTTTCCATGTCAGAAAAATGTTTTTATCTCTTTTTTTTAAATGTAGTATTTCATTGTATGGATATTTATTGTTTTTAACTTACCCCCTTTAGATGGTCATTTGGGTTATTTCATTTTTCTTCCCCCTCCCCATATTACAAATATTTCTACAATACTTGTGCATACAGGGTGGGGCAAAAGTAGATTTACAGTTGTTCATGTGGAAAATTATACAATAATTAGTAAATAACAATACAAGAATAAACTGCATTTCATATACTCACAACTGTAAACCTACTTGCCCTATATATTTTGGGGTGCCGAGATACATCTCCCGAAATAGATTTGGGTAAAAGGATATGGACATTTAAGTTTAATAATTACTGCCAAATTGCCTACTAAAAGTTGTATCAATTTTTTTGTGTTTTAGTAACTGACTGAGAATCTATTATGTCTCTAGGTAATTTGAATTTCTTTGTGACTTGCTTGGTCATGCCTTGAGTATGGTTTTTATATGTATTTCAGGTGTAAGATATTTTTTATTGTTGAAAAAGTCTCTTTTTCTTCATAGTTTTGATGCTTAGTGTTGGTCTCTCTCCTTTCTATTTTAGGATACTATGGCCAAACGAAATACAGTCATAGGAACACCATTTTGGATGGCTCCAGAAGTGATTCAGGAAATTGGGTACAACTGCGTGGCAGACATCTGGTCATTGGGAATAACTGCCATAGAAATGGCTGAAGGGAAGCCCCCATATGCCGATATCCATCCAATGAGAGTAAGGAAATGGATGGGAAACCAGTGGGGTGGTTAATTACTAGTCATCATTAGAAAGTTAGTTAGGTAACTTACTTGGTTAGGTACCAAATAATAAGTGAGTTAATTATATGTTATTAAATGTTAGTCTGGACTCCAGATGATACACTTCCACTAAGCTGTAGTCTCTAATTAATTAAAGTATAATTTACCCCTCTTCATTCCAAAGACTGTGTATCGATAGCCCGAGGTAAAACATGGGCCACAGAAATGCCTGGTGCGACTTGTGCAATGTGTAATTTTTAGCTTAGCTGCTCACATTTTAATGTAACATTAACTGGCGCTGAGTAGTGGTCTTCTCCTTTACACAGGCATGGGCTTCTGCCTCATCAGTCTCCACAGTTCCCTGTCTACCAAGTATCAGTGTCACATACTGCAGCGTTTTCTCTAACGTTTGTCTTACAGTACGATTTGTCTTATAGTAGTAGTAAGAGGAAAGCAAACTATTTTTTTGAACTCATGTGACTAATACCCAGCCTGGTTCGTGTGTTGTCTTTTTCCTGCCTGGCCTTTGCAGGTATTTAAATTTGTAAGTTTCGGTTTGTAGATCACCACCCTCTCTTCATCTGGAGGCTCTGTACTTGCCACCCTCCATCTACTTCTAGAATGTTAAGGGCCCATAGATTTACTCTCCACCAAAATACCCTAAGGGGCTTCCAGGGTTTACCACCACCACCCACCGGACCTCTCACCACAGCACTGTTATAAGACCTCAACCCTTCCTTGGGCTTTATAGTATTTACTAGAGGCCCGGTGCATGAATTCGTGCATGGTGGGGTCTCTCTGGGTGGCCTGCAGGGATCGGACCAAAACCCGCAGTCCAATGCCGCCTGCAGCTCCCATCTGCCGCTCCTGCTCATCCTGGCCCTAATGAGTCTAATGTGAGCTCGCGCCCAATCAGTCCAATCGGAAGAGACTCTCACTGCCTCAGCAGCAGCAGTGCTTACCAGCCATGAGCCCTGCCTCTGGTGCCCTCCCAAGGGGAGTGGCCTGCAGGATTGGGATGAGACCAGCTCGCCCACATCCCCCTAGGGGTCCTGGATTGTGAGAGGGTGCAGGACAGGCTGAGGGACCCCACTGGTGCATGATCAGGCCGGGGAGGGACTGTGGGAGGGCTCCAGGCGTGTGTGTTGCTCATCTCACTCAGTCCCGATCAATTAGTTCTTCTATTGAAAGACTAACAGTTTTTTAAGAAAATACAATATTTATGGACTCCAACATAAGCTCCCCTCTTTTTTGGGAGGTGGAGAAGTAGGGAAGGGTGGGACTATTTACTGGTTATATTTTTAGATTTAAAGACTATAATTTCAGCTGATTATCGCAGAGAGTTTTATTTACTTTTTAAAACTGTGGCTCTTTTAGTGGAAACTCAATTAACTACAGTGTAGTGGGCCAATTTTTTTTTTTTTTTTTTTTTTTAAGTAGTATGTTGAATTGGCTTGGTTTGAAAGGGGATGAATCCCTTATGATTTGGGGACTTCTGAGTTTATGGTCTTCTTGCAGTAACTAGTTATAGCCAGTGGTGGTGGTGACCTTTAGGAAGGACAGAAATCTGACAGCTCTGCGGCTAAGGTTTTACCTTTAGGATATTGATGCTCTTAGGTCTTGCCTTTTTACTTTGAAAGGCAATGTTCTGTGGTTAACAAAAATTATAAAAAGCTCGGTGGGGTCATTTCTTGGTCATGGCACATGTCTGTGTTGCAGGCTTTATCCCCGGTACATCAGTGTTTCTCTCTCTCTGCCTTTCCCTTGCTCTCTCTCTAAAAATCAATTTTAAAGTATATATTTTTAAAAAGTTTGGTGGATATTGTGAGGTTTGGGGGACAAGGATGCATATGAAAGAAGGAGAAAGTGAGGCAGGAAAGGGGAAGGAGAGAGTGATTTATATCACGTTCTTTAATTCTTACCTTGAATACTTAGACTTTTGTTGGAATTTGGGTGGGCTCTTTAGTGGATAAGAGAAAAATCATTTTATCAAACCTCAAATGTATTTCCAGTTACATTTTTATTGAAGCATCACTTTTCTTTTCTTCCTTTCTTTTTTTTAACCAGGCAATCTTTATGATTCCTACCAACCCTCCTCCCACATTCCGAAAGCCAGAACTGTGGTCAGATAGCTTCATGGATTTTGTGAAGCAGTGTCTTGTAAAGAGCCCTGAGCATAGAGCCACAGCCACTCAACTCCTACAGGTATGAATCACCCTGAGATGCTCCCTCTGAATTTCATTCACATGCTAACCAAAAGATGCTTTTAACCCACCTACACCTGTGTGGAGATGGGAACAAAGTATAAGACATTTCCTGCTTCTCAGGAGGTTTGGTCCTAACTGAGTCAAAAAGACATAGAAAAGAATGTTAAGTAATTGAACAAGACAATATGGCAAGGAAACATAGGGCTCTATGGGATTAGAGAATGGGAATTGACATTTAGTGAGCACCTGAAGACTAAGTGATATACTATGTATAACTTTGAAGAATGCTTTATACATATTATAGATAGTACGATATGGATTTGACAAATATTTGCTGTTATTATTATGCTAGGCCAATAGTTTTCAACCATATCGAGTCCCCATATATACAAGGTGTTCCAAACAAAATGTATACACACTTTAACAGCTAATAGCTTAATTTGAAAATGAAATGGTTTTTAATAAACACTGCCTTTATAATTATTCAAAGTGTATACATTTTGGGGGGCAATGTATATGTATATGTATATGTATATGTATTTTTTTTTAGCATTCATTACTCTTCTGGAATGAAACTCATAGATAATAAACTTGTTTATGTCCATAATTTTAAAAGAATCAGTATAATGTCTATGATATAATGTAGACATATAAAATAACCATTTATAATAAAATAACATATTTATCAATATAGAAATGTTCCAGCCTTACTCAACTTACCGGCATAATGAAATAGTTAGAGACCTGTACCTATCATCATGAAAGAATTTAGATGTAAGAGTAGTAACAAGAACAGAAACCATTCTATTCACGATATTTAGGAATATGAATGGGTGGGCGCTTGCATAAAACAATGGTAAGTAATAGCAGACCAGACTTATTTGTATATGATATGAGGAAGGAAATTATCTTATAAGCTTTCCAATGGGAAAGAACAGTAAATATGATATTCTTGCAAATGAGCTGGGTCTTGTTTCAAGTATAGTGGCAAATTCTTTTCCTGCCTGGCTGGGGTTCTGATAAAGTTTTATGGAAAAGATATCTCCTGTGTTATGAGCCCACCACATGTTGAGGCATACTTCCAATCTATAGAGAACTTGGAGACCTTGTCCTTTCATGAGTCCTGGGGAATAGAGAAGGGATTAAAAAGAGAAGCACTGGGGACAATATCAGAGTAAGTTTGGGAAAACAATATACAACACTCCCCTCCACCCCCCCAAAAAAAAAATCAAAGAGATTTCACATAGATTTCTTTTTTTTAAATCTTTATTATTGAAAGTATTGCATGTCCCCATTTGACCACCATTGACCCCTTTACCACCTTACTGTCTGTGTCCATGGGCCATGGGTTATGCATATATGCTTATAAGTTCTTTGGTTGATCTCTTCCCACCAATCCACTCACCTTTCACAGAGATTTCTTACAATTGTGCTATAAACAACAAATATGTAAGATGATATTAATATTTATTTGTTTTATTTATTTTTTTTAAAAATCAATGTATTGGGGTGGCATTGATTAATAGGATCATGTAGGTTTCAAGTATACATTTCTATGATATGAGATCTGTATACTGTGTGTCCACTATCCAAAGTTAAAGTTATCTTCCGTCATCATATGTTAGACCTCGTTCACCCAATCTCCATTCCCTTCCCTCTGGTAACCACCACACTATTGTCTGTGTCCGTGAGTTCCAGTTTTATATCCTACAAATGAATGAAATCATATGGTTTTTAACTTTTTCTGACTGACTTATTTCACTTAGCATAATATTCTTAAGGTCTATCCAAGTTGTTGCAAATGGCAGTTGTCTTTTCTTATGGCTGAGTTTTCCATAGTAGATATGTACTACGTATTCTTAATCCAATCCTCTATCGAAGGACACTTTCGTTGTTGGTATTAATATTTTAAAAATTCATTTTTATAAATGTAATTCAGCAATATTCCTGTGTTTCAAGTGTCTTTGTGACTAATTTTAGTATTTCTGCAATAACTACACTTTTACATTAAATTTATTTTTTATCTAAATCATAGTTGGAAATGCTGTAGTACACTGAACAGAAAGAATAAGCAAGATGAGTAAATTATTCAGTAATTTCTAAACAATGTCTTTATTCCATTTAAACCCCTACTCCAAACTTACCTCCCAAAATACTAGACCTTTTGCTTATCTCTGGAAAAAGTTTTCAGTATTATTTATCAGAGTGTACGGGTACTCTGAGACATTGAAAGATGCACAGAATGTGCTGCAGTGTGTTGTGCCAGAGGTTCCACTTTGCAGGATTGTGCTGTCCCTGCCCTCCCATGCTGTTTGTGTTCTTCAAACATTGTAACTAGAAGCTCCCAACATTACAAAATTTCCTCCAGCAGGTTGAGAATCTCTAGGTCTGGCAGAGAGAAAGAGCAGCACAATTCTAGCCAGGCCAAAATGGTGGGCAAAACCTGACTCTGCATCTGCTTGGTTATAATAGTAAAGTAAGGGGGTTAGCTATTGTCCAAAGCAAAAAGAGAAAGATTAGATTCATCGACTGACTCAACAAACACTATCAAGTACCTGCTGTGTGCCAGGCACTGTTTTGGCACTGGTGCTTATCAACTGTCCCCAGCGTTTATCACTTTCTTGCTTAAGCACCCGTTCGTCAAGAGCGCCAAAGGAGTGTCGATCCTGCGGGACTTGATTAACGAAGCCATGGATGTGAAACTGAAACGCCAGGAAGCCCAGCAGCGGGAGGTGGACCACGAGGAAGAAGAAAACTCGGTGAGTGGCAGGCCTGCCTTTGGGCCTCAAGCATTAATGCTCATTATTTCATGACTAGTGACCCGTGGACGAAATTTGTGCACATTAAAAAGGAATTAATTAGAGAAAATATTTTAATATTGCTATTTGCCCTTTCTCTATAATAAAAGTGTCAGAGATGAAAAAAATAAGTAGAATGTATATGAAAATCTTCCTCCTGTTCCTGTCAGAGTCTGGGCATGCCACGAGAACCAGAGTCAAGTCCCCACCCACCCATATGCACCTCGAAATCGTGTGAGACCCAGACTTGGCTGGCCCCACCTCCATTGGGCTAGATCCAGACCTGGCTGGCCCCACCCCTGTCAAGCCCTGCTAGGTGGGGGGCGTGGCTTGAGGTCCCCCAGTCCGGTGCTGGGGCAGAGGGTGCAGCCTCAGGTCCTTTGTCAAACCCCAACAGGTGGGGGGCACAGCCTCAGGGGGCACAGCCCCTGCCCCAGCCCAGCACCATGCAGCCTCAGGTCCCTGCTGATTGTTCGTTAAGGCTTGTTACAGGAACTCATCCTCCACTGTGGGTGCAACCATCTTGTGCTATGGGAATCCCACCTCTACTGTGGGTGCAGCCATCTTGTTATGGTGTGATGGTCAATTTGCATATCCCCTCTTTATTAGCTAGGATTGCTAAGCCAGGTAAGATGTGTAGGTATTGTATCAGCCTGCAGCTGGAGACTCTTCTTACATGACTCTGTCCTGTCCTGGACCAAGCCTTGCTAGAGGCTTTCATCATCTGTGCGTGCTCTTCTCATAGTGCTTCCTAAGATACTTACACATTTTATCTTTCATTCAATGCACATATTTATTCTGGAAAGAGAATGCTCAGGTCTGAGGCTTTGTTTTTCTGTGTCCTTTGGGGAACCTAGGATTCATACTAAATATGTAGATTCTAAACTTATAGACTCTCTCACAACCCTGAGATTTCAAGGGTGTGCATAGATCTTTAGATATATGTTGCCAAACTCTATTAAGAAGGGGAGAAAGAGGGAGTCTTTCAGATATATTACTCTTACTTGAGTAAATTTATGTTCTTTGGTTAAATAAAAGTAATCCCAGTTAGAATCTGAGTAAGTGTCAAATCCAGAAATATTTGCACCAAGATGAGTAATAATAATTCAGAAAACTCACCTTTGATCAAATTAGCTCCAATTTGAGAGTCTATTCTTTTACAGGAGGAGGATGAATTGGATTCTGGCACCATGGTTCGAGCAGCAGGTGATGAGATGGGCACTGTCCGAGTAGCCAGCACCATGAGTGATGGAGCCAATACGATGATTGAGCACGACGGAACATTGCTGTCACAGCTGGGTACCATGGTGATCAATGCTGAGGATGAGGAAGAGGAAGGAACTATGAAAAGTAAGGCTCTGACCAAATATCCTAACTTCTCAGGCAGACCATACACTTTCCAGAGAAGACAGGTTCTCGTGGTCCACACAGGCTCAGTCTGGAGGCCTCTTCTGTTGCTGCAACCAAAGGAGTAGAAACGTGGGTTGAGGTGAGGGCATGGGTTTGGGGAAGGGGAAAGCTGGCATGTGAGTCAGAGCAAGAAAGCGTCAGTGACCATTCTCTCACTGAATGATGTCATTTTCCCTCCGCTTCCCGAATCTGAGGAGGCAAGCACATGCATTGATCTGATGCATAGTTCTGAGCTATTGAAATTCTGAGCTGTTGACTGTATATATATATCTTATCTTTTTTTCATAATACTCTGTGCATCTCACCCAGGTTTACCAGTACTCAGTCAGTCTATTCAGAATGACTGCACACACTTAAAAGGCCTATCAAATCCTTTTGAGTTTAAGCCCATCTCTACTTCTTATCCCACTGATCCTTTTTTGCCTGAGGCCTGACACCGGAGCTCAGCTCCCATCAGAATGCCATCCTCTCCTACCTTCTTCAGTTGCTTCCCTTCCCCTTACTCTGCATTACAGACCAAGTCGCAGAGGAAAGCAATGTGAGAGTATAAAACGCTAGTAATTTAGTTGTGTAAGTATGATTTAGCCTAAACTTTGTATAAGTTTAAAGCAGTAAGTCTCTTCTTCATCTTTTCTTCATCATATATATATTTTTTTCTTCCTCTAAATCAGGGATTAGAAAACTATGGTCCACATCCAAAATGTGGCATGCCACCTGGTTTTGACAAAGTTTTATTGGAACATAGCCATGTCCGTTCATTTACAGAGTGTCTATGACTGCTTTTGTGCTATAGAAGCAGAGTTGAGTATTGGTGACTGAGACCATGGGGATCCCAAATCCTGAAAGTTTTGCTGTCCAGCTCTTTACAGACCAAAAAAGTTCTCTAATCCCTCCCCTAGACCTTCTGCTTTGTGATTGATTAATTCACTTAATACATTTTTCTTCAGTGCCTAGCATATCCCAGGTACATTGTAGATGCCAAAAATGCAACAGGAAATGAAGAAACAGTCCCTGCCCTTAAGGAACTCATTGCCTAGTGTGGGGGACAGACCATTGATTGTTCTTCAGTGTATGAAATGAGTTCTAAAATAGGGGAAACATAGGGTGCTGTCGAAGCAGAGTGGAAGAATATTTAGTTTAGACTGCGGATTACTGCAGAATTCCTGGAGGAGAAAGGTAAACTGGTTGGCAAGTGAGTAGTGTGGGTTGGAGATGGTCCAGCAAAGGGAACAATGCTCACAGATTCGAGGAGGCAAGAGAAAGGCTAGTGAGTTCAAGGGAACTGCAGCTGGTTTATTGTGGCTGAGACAGTTCCAGGGCTGTGGTTCTTAGGGATTTCCCTCTATGTTTCACCTTTCAGGTATTTGTATTTATAATCAACCCTTTGGTGTTTGTTTGTTTGTTTGTTTTATTTCAGAGAGAAAGGGAAAGGGATAGAGAGATAGAAACATAAATGATGAGAGAGAATCATTGATTGGCTGCCTCTTGCACGCCCCCTACTGGGGATCAAGTCTGTATCTGGTCATGTGCTCTGACCCAGAATAGAACCGTGACCTGGTGACGCTCAACCACTGAGCCATGCTGGCCAGGCAACCCTTTGTTTTTGAAGGGAAAAGGTTGTGTGTTTGTTTTATTTTGGGGCTTGCTCATCATCTGTGTTTCTTCTGACCAGAACCACACAGAGAGAAGAGTAATAATACTATTAGTTGATATGTAACTTGTGTATCTTTTCTGGAATGTAGTATGTATCAAGAATTTGAAAAGTTCAAACCCTTGACTCAATAAATTCCACTTCTAGGGCCCTGGCCCAAGAAAATAATTGAAGATATAAGCAAATTATATTTAAGAATTTTTTCAAATACGTTACTTAAAATTGAAAAATTGGATTAATTTAAATGTTTAATAGAAAATGGTTAGTCAAATAAACTATGATACAACCATAGGATGGAATACTACACCATATAAAAATATTAAAAATCCTGTTTTGGGGGAAATATTTAGAAGGAATCGCTTAGACAGACAGTGTGGTTCAGTGGTTGAGTATTGAACTATGTACCTGGAAGTCATGGTTCAATTCCCTGTCAGGTCACATGCCCAGGTTTCAGGTTCAATCCCCAGTAAGGGGGCTTGCTGGAGGCAGCTGATCAATGATTCTCTCTCATCACTGCTGTTTTCTATCTCTCCCTCTTCCTCTCTGAAATCATTAAAAATATATTTAAAAAGAAAAAAGGAAACAAATTTATAGCATAACCCAGTTTTACCAAAGTAAAAAAAAAATTAACATGTTAATATGTGCATAGAAAAATGACTGGGGGGGAAAAAACTGACTGAATAAAAAAGCTGGAGAGAAATAAACCAAATATTAAAAAAGTAGTGTTGCTCACTGTTTGAGCATTGACCCATTAATCAGGAAGTCACAGTTTGATCCCCGGTAGGGAGTGTATAGAAGGCAGCCAATCGATTCTCTGAAATCAATAAAAACATATTTCTAAAGTAGCTATTATTGGTAATAGGATTATATGTCTTTAAATTTTCTCCCCAAAATTTTCTCTAGCATTTATCAGAAAAATAAAAAACCATCACAATATTGCTGATATCATTGTGTGTCCTGTAAATTAGGACTTTGAACTATATATTGCTTTAAGAATCCCTTTTCCTCTCTTCTTCCTTCTTGAACTACTTTTTATGGCCTTAAAAACTGATCGTTACAAAGTGACATTTGTCACTCTCTGCTAATCTCTTTAAGTATTAATACTTATTGTATTCTTAGGGAATGTTGTATCCCCTAAACTCAAGGTTGAAGCACCCTAGATATATTGTGCTTGGTGTTACATAAATAGTCAAGTGAATGCCATGAACTAAATTTATTTTCTTTTTTCTAAGTAGCCATATGATTTGTTAGGAAGATTTGCTTTGCAGTAATAAGCTGCTGAGACTCTAGTTCTTTCTTCCTCTTCTTGTTTGAAGGGCTATAATTATGCAGATGATTATAATCACTGTGTAATATACCTTGGCTGACCCAGTGCATGAATGGGTTATGGAAAATTTGTCTTTTTTAATGTAAAGAATTAATTTTGTTCCAAATGTAATTTTCATATTTCACATGCTAATTAATTCAGTGGATTTGTGTAGTTTCTGAGCTTGGATAGTTTTAGCATTCCTAATGAGAAAATGCATCTTTTATTATAGACATGATGAAAAAAATTAAAACCTCAACAGTCGCAGCAGAGTGATATTAAATATACTCAGTTCACAAACAATCTGCTGCAGGTCTTATAATATAGTTTTTGAGTCACAAGTTTGACAGATTTACCACTTACTTTGAGATCTTTGCCTCTTACTATTTTAGGAGTTATTTAAATTTTCATTATGGAAAATTAAAACATACACATTTGCACAGAATAATATCATGAGTCCAGTGGACCTAGTGCCTGGTTTAAAAAATGATTAACGCCTTCATTGCCCATCTTATTTTAGGCTCCCCCTCCCAAGGAAAATAATAGGCTGAGTTAACTTAAAGCAAGTCTCAAGCATCATATCATTTCTTCAGAAATGATTTTTAAACATTTAAAGGAGTCTTTTTTACTAAGCCTGACTCAGATACTATCTGTGTTATGTTGGATAACTCACTTTCCTTGTATGGACTTCAGTACCCTAATCAGTAAAATTAAAGAATTATTTTTTTTTATTTTTAAAATCTTATTGAATTTATTGGGGTGACATTGGTTAATAAAATTATATAGGTTTTAGGTGTACCCTTCTTTTTTTTTTTCCCTTTTTTTAAAATATATTTTATTGATTTTTTACAGAGAGGAAGGGAGAGAGAGAGAGCTAGAAACGTCCATGAGAATCATCGATCAGCTGCCTCTTGCACACCCCCTACTGGGGATGTGCCCGCAACCAACGTACATGCCCCTGGCCAGAATCGAACCTGGGACCTTTCAGTCCGCAGACCAACGCTCTACTGCTGAGCCAAACCGGTTTTGGCTAGGTGTACCCTTCTGTAACACCTGTTGTAGATTGTGTATTGTATTGTGTGTTCACCACCCAAAGTCAAGTCTCCTTCCATCACCATTTACCCCCCCTTTGACCTCTTCTACCTCCCCACCCACCTTTCCCTCTGGTAATCACCATACTGTGTCTGTGTCTGTGAGTTTTGGATTTTTTTTTTGTTTTTGTTTTTTAATCCCTTTATCTTTTTCACCCCAGTCCCCCAACACTCTTCCCCTCTAACAGCTGTCAGTTCTCTGTATCTGTGAGTCTGTTTCTATTTTGTTCGTTTATTTTGTTCATTAGATTTCACATATAAGTGAAATTATATGGTATCTATCTTTCTTTGAGTGACTTATTTCACTTAGCATAATGCTCTCCAGGTCCATCCCTGTTGTCATAAAAGGTAAGATTTCCTTTCTTACCTTACAATGGAGTAGTATTCCATTGTGTACTAAATGTACCACAACTTTTTTGTCCACTCATCTATTGATGGGCAGTTGGGCTGCTTCCAAATCTTGGCTATTGTAATTGCACTGCAGTGAGCATAGGGGTACATACTTACTTTTGAATTAGTGTTGCTGAGATATGTGTGTGTGTGTGTGTGTGCGTGTGTGTGTGTGTGTATATATATATATATATATTCTTATTCCTAGAAGTGGAATGCTGGGTCAAAAGGCTAAAGAATTTTTAAACTTGCACATTTCCTTGTCTTATAGTTCTAATAGTTCACATGTTTATAAAAATAATATCACACATGGCTAACAGGTAGGCATTTTTCTTGGGGCCCTCAGGGTATTTCTCTCTAGAGCAGTCTTTAGATTATTTCTCATTTTCAAAGTATGCTTGTGGTACAGCCCAGGAATTATATTTCTAGAAGTTGACTCTTTCCAATGCTTTAATGGTCCGAAGCCATTCCTAAGCCATGTTCTTGAGTCCTGGATCTTACC